CAGGCATAAAATTTCCACAGAAGTCTTAATATTCTTAGTGGCCATTCTTCCTGGATGTTCGAAAATCTTAAGATCACATTGTAGCCACGGATTCAAGGTTTGAATGATGTACTTACTCTTAGTGGGATCGAATGTAGGCTGATAGTAAACATGGGACTTTTTCTAATTCGCCAAATGTTCAATTTGGCAAATGAACATGTCTTACAGCGGCGGATGACACGCTGGAGCAATTAAAAGAACAAATTAGGTTGTCTTGACCAGTGACACCCGGATATTCTTCTCATTTTGGTACCTGCTGGCGGCGGTAAAAGCCACATTCAACGTCGCACACCTACGCTGCTCTTTCAAAAGTTTACCACTGATAACCATACGGAATAAAGATAAACTACCAAGGTTGACCACTTCAGTGATTGTTTACTCGTTCAGATGCGTTTGTGATGCACTCTACGTCGGTCGTACGGCACGGCAGTTATCTATCCGCATGAAAGAACACCATCCCCGCTGACTGAGTCGAAGTGGTTCCGGATCTACCACAAGTTCGATTCTCGCTCACGTGGAAGAGATTGGTCACCGTGCTAACCCAAGTGAAGCATTCCACATTATTTATCAGGTCCCCTCGAAACGGTTCAAATATGCACGTTGGCCATTGCTGAGGTCATCTGTATTAAGCATTTGACCCCCAAACTATGCGCCCAGAGACGTCTTATCCAAGCTCTTCATCTCCGCCGAAGGGTTCGCGAACCCACTCCTGCCCCCATCCTCTTGTCCGCACACACAAACATTTCCACAACACAACAATACCGATACCTCATGATGACACAACTGCAAACCTCGGAAGCATAACAGATCTGAGAATGCGGTGTGCAACACATACACACAGACACGCATACAAGAAATGAACGATTTCTCACATTTTATTGTTCTTCCCTCAATCCCTAATTTTTTTTCCTTACATATAAACTGTAACGGCATGATTATGAGTTATTGAAAACAATTTTTCGCCTGGAATTGTGCTCTAAATGCGAGTATGGGCATATTTCGAAATTATTCAATAAACTTCCCGGAAGGATGTATGGTGATCCAGGCCTACACGATGGCGCCTACCCTGGAGCGGCGCGTTACAGTTTCAGGACATTTGCGACCAATCAAATTTCAATACTGACGTCAATGACACGCGTACGATTTCCGACTACGCGCCATAGGTAGATCGTGCCAGCCAATCCAAGACAGTGTAGACAGAGGCAGAATCATGCAAGCAATACTGCAATAAGATTGGTGGAGGCCTAGATAACCAATAATCTTCTTTGTACATATCACTTAATCGCCCTCATTTCTTCCAGTAAACGAACCACTACCTACTAGTATTCCCGTGGCCTTTTCCTCGCGTCTCGTTCTCGTGGGACATTGCGAACCCGTGCGATTGTGGTCCAGTGGTTCTGTGATCCAGTCCGTGATAGCTGAATATTGATTCAGGTCCTGTGATTCGTATTGTGTGGTTGGCGTTCCGAATTCCGTGCGTGTCACTATTACTAATACAATTTCGAAATTTAAAAATTCGAGAATTAATCCTTGAATTATTGTTAGCTCACACTGTTCCACAATAAATATACTGTTTACCCGAATATTTTTTGTCCATAACGTAACAACTATTTCTTAATTTACACACAAATTGAACATCGGTCTTTCGTAGTATTGACGTTCTCCCAGCTTTCTTGCGGAATTCTGTTTCATGCCAGCACAAGGATGATGGCGGTGATCGATTTATGAATCAAAAAGTGTCTAACAATGAGCACTATCTGTCCGTGTCCATCTCACCGTGTATCTATCCCCGTCATTGTCGTTCCCACTCAATGAATCTGTCTGTTCATTGAAGATTCTTACGGAACAATTTTACAAAACAGGACATAGTGAATGAACTAGTTTACCGTGAATTTTCTCTTGCGGCTAGTATGGTTATATGGCAATTGAAGCGTTTTGATAAATCACAGATCGAGGGAAACATGATTGACAAATAGCCTTTGATCGATAACGAGATACCCGGTAGTGGTGGCCAAGTGGTCAGGTCACAAACTTGTGACCTGGGGGTCCCGGGGTTCGAGCCGCTCACCGCCGTCCTTTTTCCCTAATTTTCCAGACAGTCTTTGTATGACCGCGGATCCCCTTCCTGAATGTGGACTGTACATTTCTATATCCAAGCGATAATCGGAATAGTTCTGAATGTAGGAATACGATAACCGGTACCGTGGTGCTCAGAACTGGATTGGAGCTCTGCTCATTAAGTTGAATTTGGCCCGTTCGGGGGCCTGAAGATCCACTGAGAGAATGGGGCCCAGCGGTAGGGATTTCAAATTCTTTTGCATTCCTCCTTTCCGAATGCTGTTGCATAATTTGAAACGTTCTACCGACTCTTCAATTTCCGCTGGGACTTCGTGTAGGTTCAATGGTTCAATGGCAGGATCCTCCATTGCGCAATGCCAACTTGTGGTAATCGCAATAGTACTGAATGTAGAAATACGAGAACCCTGTAATGTACTGCTCAGAACTGGGGACACCAATGAAACACGAGGAATTGATAGGAGCAAATGCTTATCACAATTCATTAAATGAAAAGCCAGATAAAATACATTATTACCTTTTCACATATTATTATATTATATTATAGTATCTTCACTAACTGTATATCCCGTTTCGTCGAGATGTTCCACGGTGGCACTGGAGATGGTTATCTTGTTCTCAGGAGCCATTCAGGCTGATTTTTGTCTCTTAATTATCTAAGAAAACCTCCGACCGAGAACAAACAAGGAACTCGAACAGTTCTGAGCTATCATCTTGATGCTCCACCAATGGCGGAACTGGCAATTTACCCTTAATTTGTACGTAAATCGGACACCTGTCATTATGAATTTGATGCTTCGTACGTTTTTAGTACATATACTTTTTCTGAGTTGCCGATCTTAAATTGGAATTTCGAAAAGCTTACAGATGAATGTTCAACCCACACATGGAGGCCATCCACACTTTTGTACGGTAGCTCTGAGCTGTTCACATTCGGATTATCCACTCAACTTACATAGACATATGGAATCATGTAACATTGTGCAGTTCAACTGTTCAGCCCATCACGGTAGGCTTTCTGTTGAATTCATTGGATCTCACCGAATGAATTTTCAATGCTGAGTTTTCCATTCAAATTGTATTGTTTGGTTGACAATGGAAGACCACTCAATAGTACAGTGCTAGTCGAGCGTGCATTCGTGCGGGCGTTTGAATCTCGATTGAAAGCTATTGGTTTGTCTGCTATTTAAACAACGGACGTTTCTTGCCCATTCTCTTTCAAGTAATACACATTGAACGACAACTTGATTTGTGAAAATATTTTCCCACTCGACTCGACTTGAAACACCTGTGACATTGATGAATGATACTGTTTGTTCACGGAGATCTTGAAAATACTCTGTACGATGAATTAACAAAAAAAACTCATCTCTCACATTCTTTTGAACATCTGAAGGATTCCGTCCAATCGTCTCATTGATCACTTCCACTGATTTAGTTGTAAAATTTTTCAATAAAAATCTTCAATGAACAGACAGATTCATTGAGTGGGAACGACAACGACGGGGATAGATACACGGTGAGATGGACACGGACAGATAGTGCTGGCATGAAACAGAATTCCGCAAGAAAACTGGGAGAATGTCGTCCTATAGCGTCAACACCTTCAGCTCTTAAGATGACTAAAAAGACTATTCCCAAACGCATACAACAGTTTAAAAATATTCCCAATGATCGCATATGTTGGAAATGTTTGTGATAACCGACAAAGAGCACTGAACAGCTGTTTTCTGTCCTGTTTGGCACTCATCAGCAGTGCATACATTTTGTGTCCCTGTCAGGACTCGAACCGCGATCAGTCGGGTTGGGACTTCAAACCCATAGCCCTGAGCTAAACAGACGGCGGTCATCAATTTGTACGAATGGTTGAATCAATTTTACGGTATCAGGCTTGGATTAGTCCATTCGATTGTTGAGAGACAGCACGCTTGCTATCGTAAAATTCCGAATCATCCTTTACAGTTTGCTACAAACCTAATAGACGTAGCCTCCACCCTTAATCATTTTATCATTGAGTTTTTGAACAACTCTGTTAAGTCTGTTAAGTCTGTTCAGTGTGTTTTTCTTGACTGTTCTTCGGCACTTGATTCCATTCTTCAATCTTTTTTTTAAAAAAACTGAAATCGTTTGAATGCCTCAAGCAAATGTTAGTTTGGCTGTCCAACTATGTCATCGATGGAGCAAAGCTTAGGGAAGGCTTCTTCTAAACACTTAGTCAACAACTCCGGAATTCCTCAAGGAACTGTGCTATTCCTTCACTTATTTTCCAATTCTATTCATGATGTTCCGTGTTTTTTTTTCCTGCGCGTATTTTGAAGTATGCAAATGGCGTCCTGCTGTGCCAGCCTATTTCTTCTCACTTCGATCTAAGCTCGCTGGCCGACAATCTTGATCAAATTTTTAGTCATTCTCCTCCTCATCAGGGCTAAACCTTAATCCCAGCAAATTTGTTCAGTATTATTACAGCTTTGCTCGCTCTCCATACCCGACAGACCTCACAATGAGTAATAGCAATCCTTTATCCAGGTTGAACTCTGTCAAATATCTTTGTATAACTATGGATAGCAATCTTCGTTGGTCAACTCACATCCACAACTGTATTATTAATCTAAGGCGTCTATCATTTCAAATGCGAAAGGCCAAGCAGTTTCGCGTTTCCCAATCAGTTATTTCTACCTATTTTTTTTATCAATGTGT